AGTGATAATTGATATACGAGGGCTTAATACTGCTATTTTATCTCTAGTTTCCCGGTGTTCTGTATTTCCCTTGTTTCTCATTTCATGTATTTCCTGCTGCCATTTCAGTGTGGTGATTTTCTATGATGGTTTTCTCTTTATCATTTGTGTCTCTGTTCTGATTTTTTATTTAGTGGCTACCATTAGGTTTCTATGAAAGATCTTGTTGATGAGACAGTCCATTTTCTGATAGCCTCTTATCTCCATTAGCCTATGCACGTTCCATCCCTTTCCTTCTCCCCCTCTAAGGTACTGTTGTAACAAATTATTCTGTTTTGGGTTGTGAGTTTGTGATTAAATTGAAATGATCATGGTTATTTTTTAATTTAATTTTTTTGTGAAGATTAGCCCTGAGCTAACATCTCTTGCCCATCCTCCTCTCTTTGCCGAGGAAGATTGGCCTGGGCTAATATCCGTGCCCATCTTCCTCTACTTTATATGGGACACGCAGTGCATCAGTCTGTGCCTGGTATCCGAACCTGTGAACCCTGGGCCAACAAAGCAGAGAGCACGAACTTAACTGCTACACCACCAGGCTTGCCCTGATCATGGTTATTTTTGATGCTTTCCTTCTCTTTATATTTAATGTTGTAATTAACTGTTTGCTAACTTGTCCTGATAGAGACATGTAGTTCTCTGATTTTGTCTATTTATGTCCTTGCTCGAGGCTTTGTAAACCTTTTCCTTTTTTTCAGGTATGACTGCCTTCTTGATCATTTCTTGTAGGGGGGGTTTGGTGGTGAACTCCCTCAGCTTTTGTTTATCTGGGAAAGCTTTTATTTCCGCATTGTATCTAAGGGGTAGTTTCACTGGACAGAGTATTCTTTGCTGAAAGTGTTGTGTGTGTGTGTGAGGAAGATCAGCCCTGAGCTAACATCCATGCTAATCCTCCTCTTTTTTGCTGAGGAAGACCAGCTCTGAGCTAACATCTATTGCCAATCCTCCTCCTCCCCCCCCCAAAGCCCCAGTAGATAGTTGTCATAGTTGCACATCCTTCTAGTTGTTGTATGTGGGATGTGGCCTCAGCATGGCCAGAGAAGCGGTGCGTCAGTGCGTGCCCGGGATCCGAACCTGGGCCGCCAGTAGCAGAGCACGCGCACTTAACTGCTAAGCCATGGGGCCAGCCTGGCTGAAAGTTTTTGTCTTTCAGTATTTTGAATATATCATTCCACTCTCTCTTAGCCTGTGAGGTTTCTGCTGAGAAATCCAATCAAAGCCTGGTAGGACTTCCTTTATACGTTATTTTCTTCTGCCTTGCTGCCCTTAATATTTTTTCTTTGTCATTGACTTTTGCCAGTTTTACTAATATATGCATTGGAGATCTTTTTACATTGATGTAATTAGGAGTTCTGTTACTTTCTTATACATGTAATTACAGCTCCTTCCCCAGGTTTGGGAAACTTTTTGCTATTATTTCTTTGAACAAGCTCTCTGCTCCTTTCTACATCTCTCATCCCTCTGGAATACCTGTAATCCTTATGTTGCATTTCCTAATTGAGATAGATATTTCTCAGAGAATTTATTCATTTGTTTAATCTTAGTTCTCTCTCCTCCTCCAACTGAAGTATTTATATATTTCTGTCCTCTAAATTACTTATTCTGTCCTCCATAATGTCAGCTCTGTTTTTTTAAGTTCTAGATTTGTTTTTAATCTCATCCATTGTATACTTCACCTCCAGCATTTCTGTTTGGTTCTTTTTTAGGGTTTCAATCTCTTTTGTGAGGAATTCCCTGTGCTCATTAATTTTATTCCTGTCTTCATTGAACTGTCTTTGAGTTTTCCTGTAATTCATTGAAGTTTTTTTATGATAATTATTTTGAATTCTCTGTCATTTGGATTGTAAATTTCTGTGATTTCAGGATTGGTTTCTGGACACTTGTCATTTTCCTTCTGGTGTGGAGTGTTAATATAGTTCTTCATGCTGTTTGATGGGGTGAACCTGTGCCAGCACACAGTGGTAGTACCTGGTCACAGATGCCACCTGCCACCACTGGGGGGGGGGTCAGGAGCTGTTTTCTGAGCTGGAGCTGCATCCCCTGGCAGTTGTGCCCATTCATTAGAGGTTGTGCTAAAAGAGTGGTCTGCAACTGGCTGCAACAGCTTCTCACAGGCAGGCGCAGGCACTCTGGCAGGGATCCCCTGCACGGGCTGACTGGACAAGTTGGTGTGCCAGGCGTGATGGGGGTGGGGGCGCTTTCTTTCCTGCTGGTGCTCCCACTCTGCACTCACTGGTGGCCCGAATGGGTGGCTCAGCTTGTTGGGGGTGTCCCCATGGTGACTCCGCCACCTTGGTGTGGAGTGTTCCCTCAGGCTGGGAAGCAACTCCAAGAGCAAAAGTATTCCCACATAATTCGGTACATGTGTGTGTTGATGGCTTGTAATTAGTATTTTGGTGGTGAACATGATGTAATCTATGCAGAAATAGAAGTATACTGATGTACACCTGAAATTTTTACAATGTTATAAACCAATGTTACTGCAATAAACATAAAAAAAAAAAAGCATTCCCACAGAGGGCTCTCTTTTCCCTCTCTCCTCTCAGAGTCACGCGCCAGCCCCTACTTGAGGTCTCATGCCATAGATTGCTGCCACTGGGGAGGGGGAGGAGCCCACTTACCTCCTTCCACCTCTTTCCAGGGATCAAGCACCCCCACCTTCAGACATATGGCTGCGTGGACCCCTCAGATGTCTAATGTGTTGTGTAGATGTCCTGTTGGGTAATGAATGTCCTTTTTGTCATATCTTAGGGGGGAGAGATTAAAGGAACAACTCACTCCACCACAATGCTGATGTCACTCATTTACTCATGTTTTAATTGGGTTGTTTGCCTTTTTGTTATGGAGATGTGTTCTTTATGTATTCTGGATAACGAAACCTTACCACATATGTGATTTACAAATACGTTCTCCCATTCTGTGGGGTGTCGTTTCATTCTCTATATAGTGCAATTTGATGCAAAGAAGAGTTTAATTTTGATGAAATCCAATAATAAAATAATGATTGTGTCAATGCTCTCTAGCCAACGACCACCAGGATCACACCTGTGGTCAAAGAGAGTGGGGGGGTACTGACTGTGAGCACTGGTGGGGATGCTCACAACTCTGCAGGACTGTAGGTGTGTCAGTAAGAGGGACATATGATGACACACAGGACATCAGGACATATTTGGACATAGAATATATCAAACATTCAGACTTGTGTTAGATGACTCAAGTGAGTGTTCCAGTGAAGTGTTCCTTTACTCTGGATTAGATGCTGTCAGGAGATAAACGCAATCTTATGGCTGGAGATCTTAACAGTTCTTGTCTACAAAGCAGAAAGAACAGCATGCAGCTAAAACCAGTTGGTAAAGAGGCAGCTGTCATATTAGCTAGAAGCGGGGAAGGTTTGCTCATTTGTGTGGTTTGGATTCTCTTTCATTTGACTAGTCACCTTACACATCCTCTGAGACAGAAAGCCCCAACCAGGTCCACCCAAACTACAGGAAGATGTCCACCACGCCCAGGGCCAGAGAAGCACTGCTGGAGGCCATCTGACACAGAGGGAGGAACTGACCTGTGTCAACGGGGGCAGAGCAACAGGACCATGAGCGTCATCCAGTGGAAATAACACAGAGAACATTCCTGGGCAGAAGCATCATCAATCTATTACCACCTGTCATAGAGAGAAAGTCCTGTGGATACTCAGCACAATTACTGCCAAGAAGAGAGGTAGAAGCTGTTTCCATTCCAGTATCAATTTCCCATAAAACCACTGAGAGCTATTCAGAGAACAAGCATTTAGAAGCAGCATTTCCAGAAATTAGTTGAGTTTACTCAAGGCAGTTATGTCTCTAAACTGGAGCTCCATTTCCTAACTCATTCCCACCACAACTAAGGGCTCACCTCACCAGGAACGCTGTTTGTCCTGGTTGTCCACAGACAACGAGGGAAGATATACGTCCAGTTCTGCCTCCCACACTGTTGATCTGCAGGAGCAGGACTCCTGTGATCTCTGGCTGGAGACCACTGACACAAGCAATATTTAGGTTTTCACTATTAGGGGTGAATAAGACATTTTAATGAGAAAAAGTTGGTAGCAGCAAAGGAGGTTAAGAAAATCACAGCAGAAAGAATAATATGAAAAGGTGTATTTAGTACGATTACCCCAAAATATATACGGAAAAGTTGACACATAAGTTAATCTTCCCGAATGGAACAGTTTAACATATCCTCTCAGCTAACAAAATATAAAACATACTAACACTTGTAAGCATAGAACGGATTTGAAAACATACATAATGAGCTTTCAAAGAAACGATGCAGAGAACCAACTTTGACAAAAAATGTACATTGTTTTGAATGAAATAAAAAAATGAAAGAACACTGGGTAATCACATATAAAAATGGAAAGTAATTAAATATACAGGGTTTATCATTCAGAGAGCAATCAGAAGAGAAAACTCTCACAAACTGCCAAATACGTTCACATGATTGATTTCAGTCATGGAAGTATCCAGAAACCAGAAACACAGGATCAGTGCAGCCTCTCAACAATACAACCAGGGAAGGAAGTTTCCTCCATTTGTGGCTTCAGTGTTAAACCTGTCAGGGTAGGAGCAGGGAACAGGTCCACTACTAGAGAACAAGATGCTCCCTACACAGTTCATGTGATTAGGAGAAGCCTTGGAGATGGAGGGGGCCCAGGATGAGAAGATCACCAAGTGTGACAGCCTGAGGAAGTGGCCTGAGGGACACCAAAGAGCTGCAGGAAAATACACGGAACTGTGTGAACCTGAAAACCAAAGAGGGTCCACGATGCGGGAGCTTGTGGGAGAGTGTGTGGAATCTGCTGCTTGAGGGAACTGATGTCAAACATGGGGTCTGGATGGGGGCTATTCCAGACGGGCAGAGCCAGAAGTCAGAAAAGTGTGCCGTAATGCAGGCCCACCAGGTTCCATGCACCCCTGTCCCCTGACAGAAGCTCTGCGAGTCATGGCTTCATTTCTCCTTTCCAAACCTCATGCATCTTCCTCTTCTCGTGAACTTTAACTGAGAACCACAAACAGAAGGACTATGGGATACACAGTGCCCCCCCTCACCCAAGCTGACAGCACAATTCAGTAGAAGCATCTGGACACCAGCTCTCATCTTCAGGCCACAGGTTTCTCTTCTGAACTCAATGCATTGTGTGCACTTGCAGCCAACATCAAGGACAATAACCACAGATCAAATTATGAACATAATCAGATAGGACTGTCCTCTTCCAAAATCTTTCCACAATTACAAATTTCTGTAAGAAACACAGATGTGGTATCCACTAGCAATAAACAAAGGCAAAATTGACATCTTTCAATGCCAAAGAATACAGAGGAGACATTGCATCAGAAAATTCTAGTATCTCCACCAGTGGACTCAAGGAGAAATTTCAACAATATAAGTCTCAGATCATGATCATATATTAGGAACATAATGGAAAGTAAGAATCAAAAAACTGTTCACCTAAAATTATATCATATTGCACATGAAAAAACAAAGACTCCTTATCACTACTGGATCCAAAAAATGTGATATAAGTGAAATATTATACAACCGTACATTTAAAGTGCAATATAACAAAATCTATGTAGTACAGGTGATGGGGACAGAGAAGGCTATTTATTCTCTTCAGTGTTCATACCAGCAACATGAGCTAGAAATCAATACAATGGGGATCCCTACTAAGGATGAGACACAAAGGCAAAACCACATTTATAACAAAAGATTTGTCCTGCCCTGAGTTCTCATGAAGAAAAGAAGTGAGGTGCTAAACCTGGAGGTTTTCCTACAATCTTGCCATCATAAATTATCTCTCTAGTGTGTTTCCTTGCATTTACAACAAGGTATTAAGAAAAATGAAGCTTTCCCTCAGTCCTTGGTTGTAGGTGTTACTCTCCAGTGTGTGTTCACACAGGAATGCAGCACAGGAGTAAGCTTTCCCACAGTACTGACATTAATGTGGTCTCTGCTCACTGTGGGTTCTCAGATGACGTTGAAAATTTGGAGGCTGCCTGGAAGCTTTCCCACATTGCTAACAGTCATAGGTTCTCTCTCCACTGTGGTTTCTTGCAGGTACTTGAAGGGAGGAGTGACAACTGAAGGATTTCCAACATTGATGACATTCATAGGGTTTCTCTCCAGTGTGCATTCTCACATGTCATTGAAGGGAGGAGTGACAACTGAAGGCTTTCCCCCAGTGCTGACATTCATAGGGTCTCTCCCCACTGTGCATTCTCTCATGGACTTGGAGGAGTGACAAGTGAAGACTGCCACAGTGCTGGCACTCTTAGGGTCTCTCCCCACTGTTCTGTCTCCAGTGTACTTGCAGGAATGTGGAATCCCTGAAGGCTCTGTCACGCTCCTTACATTCATACGGTTTCTCTTCACTGTGAGTTCTCAGATGTATTCAAAGTGATGAGGAGCAATTGAAGGCTTTCCCACATTGCTTACTTTCATAGGGTTTCACACCACTGTGCATTCTCACATGCCTTTGGAAATGTTGAGGCAGCTTGAGAGCTTTCCCACTGCTGACATTCACAGGGTCTCTCCTGTGTGTGTTCTCAAATGTACTCGAAGGCTTGCAGAATATCTGAAGGCTTTCCCACACTGCTGACATTCATAGGGTCTCTCCCCACTGTGTATCCTCACATGTCCTCGAAGGGATGATTGACAGCTGAAGGCTTTTCCACAGTGCTGACATTCAAAGGGTCTCTCCCCACTGTGTGTTCTCACATGTACCCAAAGAGAGGAGTGACGAGTGAAGGCTTTCCCACAGTGCTGACATTCAAAGGGTCTCTCCCCAGTATGCGTTCTCACATGTTCTTGGAGGGATAAAGAATAACTGAAGGCCTTCCCACACTCCTTACATTCATAAGGTTTCTCTTCACTGTGTGTTCTCATATGTATTTGAAGAGATGAGTAAAAACAGAAACCTTTCCCACACTCTGTACACTCATAGGGTTTCACTCTATTGTGCGATTTCATGTGTCTGCTCAAGTTATTGCGACAACCAAAGGCTTTCCCACATTCTTTACATACATAAGGCTTTTCTCTAGTGTGTGTTGTCATGTGTCCTCGCAGGGATGCAGGATAAGTGAAAGCTTTGCCACACTGCTTACACGCATACGGTTTGTCTCCAGTGTGCGTCCTCATGTGTCCTTGCAGGGATGCAGGGTAACTGAAGGCTTTCCCACACTCCTGACATTCATAGGGTTTCTCTCCAGAGTGTGTTCTCACATGTCGTGTAAGGTAGGAATAATATATGAAGGCTTTCCCACATAATTTACACGCATGGATCTTCTGTTCATGGTGACATCTCTCATGTTCCTGTAAGGATGAGGGACAAGAGAATGCTTTTCCACATTTCTTACACTCAAAAGACTTTTTACTACGGAGACTCGCCATGTTTCTCTTAGAGGATCTCTCAGTACCCTGACGTATTTTATAGGGTTTCTCTACATTGTCTGTTTCCACGTGAAGGTGCAGGCACGAGACACAACTGCAGGGCTGCCCACATTCCTTACATGGACAAGGTTTGTGTCTAGTGTGAGATCTTTGCTGATTTTTCAGGAAAGAACAGTCCATGAAGTCTTTTCCACACTTTGTGCATTCATCAGGTTTAACTCCAGTCTGATAACACTCATGCACAGGAAGGTTTTTATTCTGGTCCAGGGTTTCTCCACAGTGATCACATTCCTTCCTTTCACAGAGACTCTCCACCAAATGACTTCTGTCCAAAATAAGAAGCACACCATGAGGGATTAGTGATTATAACTGACATCTTAATCATTTATTGACAGTTGTTGATAATTTTGACTACATATTTGCCATTTTCAATGAGTGGGTGAGTTTTTTTCACTTTCTACATTGTTACAAAGTAAAACAGCCTTAATGCTCAGGCTCAGGGGTCAAATATGCCATAACTTGCAGTGTTTATTTCACGTGGTTTCCTGATCATTGTTTCAAACTGAATTCTCTTTCAGATGCTCGATACGTACATCACACTTATGAAAAATCTTGTCTTGTGAAAATTCTCTAAGGACACAATTGTTTAGTTAGGTTTCTACTTTAATTTCACTTCAGTCTAACAATGCAGAGACCCTCTTCCTCCTGTGGGAATGCCACTCACCTCACACGCCTCTCCTGGGTTTGGTGCTGATCTCCAATGCTATGAAATGCCCAGATTTCTCCAAAAACAGACCAGGAACCACTTCTTGTGAATGTTAGTATTTTCTCTTTACTGAATATTTTATTCATCAAAATATGCCGCTGAGGACTTGATCCGCTGGTTTTACCTTGGGTGTAACAATCTGCAACAATTGGTAGCATAATTTAATTTCTTGGGAAAGAAATGGTGGGATAAAGAGAAAAAAATAGACAATGTGTGGATTTCTTTTCATATACTTATCCAACAATGTAAGACTTGGACAGTATCTCTCTTTTCCCCAACATATTCCCATTCCTTGGCCAACAATGTAAATAAATTTTATAAGGAAGAATGGCAATGTGAGCAAAGAAAAACTCAGGACCTCAGCTATTTGGGATCTTGGCAAGAGTAGGGAAATGAGTCAAAATGGTGGCCTGTTCACTAAAAAATACTTCAAAACAGACGGATACTAATGTTGAGATAAATATTATCAGAAAAGCAAAGTAGGAAGGAACTGTGCAAAAGGCACATCCCCAAATGCTCCCTTTATAAGAGGAGATACAGAATGTCTTCTCCAGGGTGCAAGAATGGATGAAAAGTCAACAGGGAAGCAGGTAAATGACACACATCACCCTCTCCAACAGTGACTGGGTCATGTCTTTAATGGACACGTACAAACATCATTCCCTCATCATGTTCCTCTCGAGGGTAGTTGCTCTCCTGGTGTTTGCAGGGCATAGAGGCCCTACATGGAGCCACTCTCCATGGCACCAGGTGCCATGGGAAATGGATGGTGTGTGCAGCTGCTGACTGCTCATGGAGAAAGCTCACCATGAGGGACGATGGAGGAGAACAAACATTCCATGGGACAGGCCCATACAAGCCAGTGATGATGGATAAGTGTGGGTTTAATTGCAGGAAAGTTACCATGTCAAATATGTGTTAACTACAGTGCAACTGTCCCAGGGGTGGAAATCAAAAAGCTGCTCTTACTGCCCCAAAGTGACACTGGAAATGAGGCTCACATTTATAAAATTAGGAAGAATTTTGTTCATGAGTAATAAAAGTCCATTTAATACATGAAAGTTTGTTTTCATGGAAAAGCTGTTCGACTCTAGGAGGTTCCATGAAGACTTGGACAGTATGTCTCTTTTCCCCAACATATTCCCATTCCTTGGCCATAACAACATAGAACAATTGTAAAAAATATTTGTTCCCTAAAAGACTGAGTGAAGGCATGAAACCGTCCTCACCCACTGAGGCCAGGTTCCTGCAGGTCTCCAGCATCACATCTCTGTAGAGCTTCCTCTGAGCAGCATCCAGCAAAGCCCACTCCTCCAGGGTGAAGTTCACAGCCACGTCCTCAAAGACCACTGAGTCCTGAAACAGCCCACATACTCTATTTCAGCCAGGCCCCAACTTCAGCAGTGTGTGTGGGAGAATGACAGTCAGGGACCTGGACTCAATTTCTAGGACTCCTGAGCTCACACTCTCGTGGGAAATGACAATAAAAAAGCAAATCAAATGCAGTATGTTCAGTGATGGTAAGTGCTTGGAAAGTTGAAGCAAATGCGACAAGAACTGATATAGACTTATACATGTGTGATTATAAGAATCATTTTTCCTCAGACACAGCAGATTGTAAGATAAAGACTGAAAAATGGGGCCGGCCCTGTGGCTTAGTGGTTAAGTGCGCGCGCTGCAATGCTGGTGGCCCGGGTTCGGATCCCGGGTGCGCATCGAGGCACCACTTCTCCGTCCATCCTGAGGCCGAGTCCCACATACAGCAACTAGAAGGATGTGCAGCTATGACATACAACTATCTACTGGGGCTTTGGGGGGAAAAAGTAAAATAAATGAAAACTTTAAAAAAAAAAAAAAAAAAAAGACTGAAAAATGAAATCTTTCAGAGAACATGGGAATTGATAGTTGGATTAGTCAAAAGTTATCTCCTTGTCAGCTCCAAGAACTGGAACCAGTACATCAAGATGTGAACACTGCGATTTCCATTGCAGCTTGAGCTGAACAATCCCTCCTTGGAGGCAACAGCGTTGAGGGGCTTGGATGCTTCCCTACATTTCAAAAAAGGCAGAGGTGTGACCCCCTCCCAGGATGAGGTAGACACTGTGGGTACAGACAGGGGCCAGGGCCCGGGGCCTAGCACACTTACTGGGTAAGAGGAGAGCCTGGTTCCTGAAGAAGCTGTGAAGCCAGCAGGGCCTCTCAAATAAAGAACCAAGTGCTGAGAATTCAAGGAAAATTATTCCCTTTTTTAGATCCTTCAAAACGAGTTGCTGAAGGATCTAAAAGCAATAGAGCCAAATATGACTTTAACAGAGAAAAAAACACCTGTAATAAGTTTAGAACACTATGTGATGACAACACACACGGAAGAAAAAGCAAACAATTATGAAATAAAAATCAGAGATTTTTTAAACAAAATATATGTTTTCAAATTCTAAAGAAAAAAATGCCAACTATGTCAGCTACAGAGAAGGTTAGGGTCCCTCACCTGGGGTAGCAACTGGGCCTTGCTAACCACACCCGATAGGAGACTCATATTCTCACTGTATTTTAAACACTCATATGACAATAAAAAATAAAAGACAACAGAAAGACAAATAATATAATTAAGTAAAGGAAAGGAAATGTGAGTAGACATGTCTCCAAAGAATACAAGTGGCCCAATAAGTACATGAAAAGATGCTAGACATCAGCCACCAGGGAAATGCATATTAAAACTATAAGCAGATCCCTCTTCACACCCACTATAAAAATGGAATGAGTGCTGGTGGGATGTGAGGAAGGTGGAACCCTCATACATTGCTGATGGGAATGTAAATGGTGCAGCCACTTTGGAAGACAGTCTGGGAGTTGTCCAAAATGATGAACACAAAATTAGCATATAACAGCTGCCACGCTCCCTGCACCTCAATCTGTTCACCAACCTGGAAGTTCTTGCGACCCCATACTACTAGGATTTTTATGGAAACTTCATCACGTAGACGTGACTGATCATTAACTTCATTTGCGGCCCTTCTCCTCTCTTAAGAGAATGGGGCTGGGGCTAAAAATTCCAAGCTTCTAATCATGGCTTCATCTTTCCAGCCCACCCAGAGTCACCTCATTAGAACAAAAGACACTCCTATCACCCAGAAATTTCCAAGGGTGCCAGGAGCCCTGTCAGGAGCTGGGGGCAGACACCAATACGTATTTTCTATTATCTCACAAGCCTTCAACATAACTGGGTCTAAAGATGAATTGCACTTGGACTTGGAGACAAGTAAAGAGCGTCCTTTAAAAAGTAAATTGTATTCAAAATCCTTTGAGATTCTTTCCTGGTATGGAGGGGTTTTATTAAATAAAACACAGTTCTTGGTATGTTTCTTAGGGAAAAAACATTGAAAGCTGACAGTTTATAAAGAGATGTGGTTGTACTAAATTATTTTTACAAACCTGCCTTCATAAAAGGGGATCATGTCACCCTTAGTGCACTTTATGAAGCCTGCTTGGCTTTGAAAATGGACAAGTATGAGGAATAGTTAACTGTGTTAATTTATAAGATCTTATTCTAGTGGATGTGATACATTTTAAAGGTGTATAAAGTCTGTTTCGAACTTTCATCCCAATGGAGCAAACACTGAATAATTATTCCACCAAGTGAGCCCTATTAATGGACTTCTCATCTTAAATCAAGTCTTCATCTCATCTTTTTCTTTATGCCTGAATCAGAGATTACTTCAAAGGGGCAGGCCCAGTGTCGTAGTGGTTAAGTTTGCATGCTCTACTTTGGCAGCCCAGGGGTCGCCCGGCGCAGACCAACTCAGTGCTCATCAAGTCATGGTGAGGCAGCATCCCATCGAGAAGGGCAACAACTCTGCAACTATGATACACAAATATCTACTGGGGCATTGGGGAGAAAAAAGAAAAAGAAAAAGAGGAAGATTGGCAACGGGCCAATCTTGCAAAAACAAACAAAAAACAAAAAACAAAAAGAAATTGCTTCATAGAAAATTAAAACACCAGTATTGGATGTTTATACGAAATCCTCTCTGCAGTTCTCTTTTGTTTTTCAAAGGTGAACTACTCCTCTTTAGTAAATAGATATCTGTTTACACCAGTCTCTTGGTGGGGACAAGGTGTGCGTGGTCATAAGCGCTCTCAATGGCGTGTGGAAGAGAAGAATATAAAAAATATTCTGCCGAATGCATTTGAGGAGTGCTGGTTCCTTTTTGAAACATGTCTCTCTACTTCATACACCAGGATGAGAGTAAAAGATGCCTTAATTTGTCATTTTTCTATTGTTGGAGACAATCAGTTTAAGAAATTCTTATTAAAATAGTTTATATGCACAAAAAAAGAAAAAAAATTCCTATAATTCTCTGTGTTTTTAGTTGTTTAATAACTAAAGTCTTCTAAATGATTTAACAGAAAACCACATTTAAAGTCTTGTTTCTTTCCAGAGAGTGTTTTCAAGTTATGTGTTGGCGGAGGTCATCGAGAAGACGCGACGGGGGGTTGCCCCTGGAGCTGAACCCAGGCAACTGGGGGCTCCCCACCTGTCCTCTGTGCTTGGAATGTGTGTTCCCCTTGCCTTCCCAGCTCCTAGAAGCTGCCCCAGGGACACAGCCTTGAGAGAGAGATGTGGTGTTGAGACCATCTGGACAGTGCATGTGAATGAGCACAGTTAAGGTCTCTATATAAACTTTTAAGATGTGGTGGTTGGGAGCAGAAAATTACTCATCTTTCCGCTGCGTCAGAGAAACCTCCTAAGTTTCCTTGCTCATTAAAACTGCCACCTAAACTCTGCCCCTTTCTTAGGTCTCCCCTTGTCCTCCAGGAAGGGAGCCAATTTCAGTTTCCATCTGGGAAGCTCCTGAGATTGTGAACCAATAGCATGCAAACGCATTTCTCACCCTGAGCTCTTTGTAATAATAGACACAGAAAACTCTCCGATGGTGAACGTAGTACATGCTACATTTTGAAAATCATTAATAGAGAAAACTAATGGTGTCATTTTCTCAGGAAAAAATGTAACAGAAGAAAAACTTGCCCTTTATTCATAGTGCAATGATCCGGTATGTCGCACCTACAAATTATAGGAAGATAATCATAGAACCAGATTTTTACTAAGTTTCCAGAATTCAAACTTATGAAAATAAATCTCAGTGTAAAATCACTGGAAACAAACAGTTGAACAGTAAATTTTTAAAACAGACTTTGTTAACATAGAATTTTAAAACTAATTGCTACTACAACTGATTTTCTTTAAGACCTAAAGTATGTATAATACAGGCTACAAAATGAATTAATGAAAATATTTTAAATATTAGTAAATGACAGGGGCCGGCCCCATGGCTTAGCGGTTAGGTGCGCGCGCTCCGCTGCTGGCAGCCCGGGTTTGGATCCCGGGCGTGCACCGACGCGCCGCTTCTCCAAGCAATGCTGAGGCCGCATCCCATATACAGCAACTAGAAGGATGTGCAGCTATGACATACAACTATCTGCTGGGCCTTTGGGGGAAAAATAAATAAATAAAATTATAAAATAAACGTTAGTAAATGACACCAAAGTGGAAGCAAAGGGAGAGATGGCGCATGTCCTCAGAAAGGAGACCACGATGCCAGCTCTCCCAAACAGGTCACGAGTTTTAAGAAAATTCCATTAATTCTACAACCAGGTTTTTGGTTTGTTTCTGTTTTGTTTGAACTTAAGAAAAACTACTTCTAAAAACTGAAATGGAAGACAAATTTCTAACAATATCTGATATTTCCTATAGAACAAGGTGGTGAGATTTTTCATAACAGACATCAAAGCTTCTTAAACTACAGTGATTAGGACAGGATGGTGTTACCAGAGGGACAAAGACACCAATGGAAAAACCAGACCACCTGAACCAGGCCCCCTGATGTTGGCAAGTGGATTTGCCCCGGAGCAGGCAGTGCCAGGCAGCGGTAGAGATGGTGACACTTAACACGTGGGGCAGTGATGACTGGTTATCTATAGGGGACTAAGGGATCTTTTCCTTATCAACCTCATGTACAATAACCAACTCATTGTAGATTTAACTGTGACAGACGAAAGCAGGACACTGAGGAGACATTATTGGCAAACACGTTTATGACTTCAGAGTTGGGAGAGTTTTCCTACAGAAGAAAAAAAGAGTAAGCTACAAAGGAAGAGATTGAGAAATTCCAGTCTATTAAATTAAGAAGAGTCCATCCAAGTGCAGATTAGAGAGATAAAAATAATAAACCACAATCTGGGAGAAAATACATGCAATACCTAGAAATGAAAAAGGATGACTGTCCAGACTATATAAGAAATCATAATAAATCAGTCAACACACAAATAAATTACACGAGAGACAATAGCTGAAAACCATCTGAAGGAAGATGAAATTGTTAATGAACCAGGTTCATTTTGCCCATTACATGAAAAGCCAATCACCAAGACGAGTTTGCAGCAGAGAAAGGGTTTATCCACAAGGCAGCCAAGCGAGGAGAAGGGAGAACAAATCTCAAATAGGCCTCCCCGAAAATGGGGATTACCCATATTTATGGGGTAGGAGGCACGTGGTCTGAAGTGTGGGGACAGGTGATGGGAGGTGAGAAAAGTGAAGTAATGGATGATCTGCACAAGCAGAGTGAAGTTTCATGGCTCTTCACAGGATGCATGTTCACAAAATGGTGGCCTTAACATGATTGGAGGATAGAATTTTTAGCTCCCTGACATCAGGAGTTCACATATCAGACACCTGCAAAGGCCCAAATCGTGGTTTGGTGTCTCCAGCAGCCTTAGCCAAACAGAGGTCGACTCTCAGTTCCTGAGAAACAAATCCAGCATCCATTAACATGGTGACCCAACTGTCAGGGAGATGTTATCTTTGAGGAACCCAGCAGGAGTCTAATAATATACTGCCTAAGCAGCATGACTAACAATGAACAGGCGAATAACTAGAAGCTACAATTAATAACTGCAAAAAAAACCACACTAGTTTCCAGCTACTTAATCATCAATGTCAACTGGTTTCAAACTGCCACATGAGAAATGCTCAACCCCAATGGGAATCAGTACAAACCAACACGGAACCCCAGGAGATCCCGCTTCACACAGTTGAGATGGACACAAGTCAGTTACTCCAAGTGCTGGAGACGACGTGGAATCAACACACATGGGCGAAAGTTAGACACTCGATTCCCACACTCCTCCATCTGCATGTCCTAGGAAACTAGAACTTATCAGTAATCTACAACTCTGGAATTTTTCTCCAATGTGTAAAAATTTATGACCCATTTTCACTTGGAGACACACACAAGAATGACTGCAGCAGCACTGCCGACAAAAGGGAAAAATAAACGTGAGACAACACAGGCCCCACAAGACTGGAAGGGAGGATGCACCCGGGTGACCCCAGCCACAGACACGAGAACAGACATGAAGCTGCAGAGACCAACACAGAGAACCAGGAGCGGGTCACCCCGGGGCAGCAGCTGGGAGACGCCACCAACCAACCAAGAAGACACAAACCTTACACCTTCACACAGTGGGACAGCAGTCTGAGTGCTCAAGCGCCCTGGGGCCACCCGGCAGCAGAGCCCATCAGGAAACGGGAAGATGAGCCCAGCGTGAGCCCACTCAGACCAGCACCCGCTCCACAGCCCACACGGCCACCCGAAGGCACAAGGTGGAACCTGACCCTGAGCTGGGGGCCCAGGCCCCTGCTGAGAGGGAGCCAGGGTGGCCCCTCCCAGGGAAGGACTGAGGGGACCCTGAGACCCCTGGGGACTGAACTCCGCAGCTGCCCACACCCTGCTCTCCCTCCTCAGTGTGGAAACGCCCCCCTCCAGGCCTCAATTCTCCCCAAGGAGGAGACGCTCAGAGATCACGTTCTGACCCGTATAAACTCGCACTCCATAAACCCTTCCAGCAGCAGATGAACCCAAGGAGCCTCCCCAAGTCTGACCTTCACAGACTCACTCAGTTTGCACACACCACACTTCACTCCACCCACTCTATGGAGGATGCAAAACCGACCCTCAGGACACAGCCCCAGGGCAGCCCCACCCCGCCCCCAGCACCTCTGCAGGGGGCTCTCCCTGCCCCTGCTCTGTGGCTGCTCTCAGCACCAACAGCTCCTTCTGCGGTGGTTCTGGGGGTGGAGTCACCTGCAGCGGTGACACCCAGCAAGACTCCACTGCCCCTTCCTTCACCTCCCACGCAGGATTAGCTTTAGGGGCAGCTTGTCCCCAGCCCAGGAGATGCACCTGCTCCAAGACCCCTGGATCATTTAAATGAGACACAGACCCATCCCAGTGTGTGGATGAGAACCCACAGAATCTCTCCTTCCCACTATGTCTAGCATAAAGCAGGGGAGGGGAATTCTAGGGCACTTTTATGGTTTAAGTAACTGGTCACTGCTTATCCCTTTCAGAAAACAGATACCAGTTCACTGCTGTCCTCATGAGAACAAATTGTAAATCAAGGAACCAGCATTGAACACGTCTCAGTTTCACAGGTCACATTTCACAGAATTTGCACCAATCTCTGACGACCAGCTAGTCACAGGACATGGGACAGGATCACACAGCGTCACAAACTCTGCACCCTGCACGGCAGAGTCACTACGAGTTTTATGAACCTCCTTAACCCATGACGCCCCCCACCTGCCTGAAGGAGTGGGACCCCGTGCACTTTCCCCACAATTCTCCTGGGAGAGAGGACGTTCTCTGTACTGAGACACTCTCCCCAGCCGCATGTCTGGAATGCCCCGGAAAAACACGAGTCAGCAGAACAGGGCAGAGACCTGAGACACTGACACCCTCACTACGGGGAAGAGACGAGACAAAAAGAATCCAGTGACTTCACACCTGCTGAACCTGAGGCTGGACTAAGAGAAAGCTATTCGTGCTGGGAGGGACACAGAGTGGGCAGCTCACAGGTGTCAGGTGACAATGCGGAATCCTCCCTGAGCCCTGGGCTCCTGGAAACATCCAGGGAAGGTGAAAGGAAGCCCCCCACCCCCACGACTCACATGCAAGCCCCCCTTGTTTATCCAGGACAAGGCCAGACACAGACGCTCCCAAATCCCCATTCTCTGTCTCATCAATAATCAGCTGAACTGCTCGTCCCCACCGACAAGCAGAACGAATGCGTGTTGGCCCCACTGGCTCAGCCTCTCTCCCCCCAGACCCCTGAGCTGCGGCCGCCCTCAGCCTGGTCAGCAGACAGCCCCTCCCAGGACAGGCTGGGCTCAGGGACCTGCCAGCC